ATATATATTACAGTTTCTGGGAAAAGTAAAATAGTTATAAACATGGTTAATGATACTAATTATAATTATCCAAATTCTATTAAGTTTATCACCAAGTTATTCAATTCGACTAGGATATTTTGAAAGTTGATGATATAAATATATTAAGTTTATCTTAAACTAATTGGGTTTATCTCCATGCAATTATACAATTGAATTTCTGCCTAGATATGACGGTTTGTTTTAAATAGGATTAACTTTTGCAAATTAGATAAAGACTACTTTGTAGGAAAAAAAAAAAAAAAAGAAGAAGAAGGGAGTACGATTATTTATCTATTTAAATTGTTTGTTTCTATTAAAATAAATTAAGCCTTATATGTGATGCAATTAGGAATCCAACTTTTCCAATCCAAATGTGTGCATGCATGGATAATGATAATTTAAGAGGGATTAATCACATCATATATTCCGTTCACTGTAAGTGGAAGTGCACGTGTGTTTATATAATTTGCAAAGTAATAAAATATGATATTTATCATAATCCTACCACAATTGAAAACAAATTTATCTTATAGTTAGATACTGTTTCGCCTATTAGCTTTTGGGGATACACTTCAATCACAATAATGGTTAACATGCATTAGGACTCTTCATTTGATTACTATAAATAGAGACACAAAGTTCAGCGATTAATTACTTTGATTTTCCTCATATTAGTTGATTCGTTCCCTTTCACCAAGTTGACAATAGTTTTGGAACGTGCAAAGCATACTTGTTTCAAAAACCCATTTGATCTTACTAGGTAGGATACTATGTTCAAGTCGATCTGTCCTTGCAATATTATAATTTTTTTACATAATTTATTTCATGAAACGTTAATTGACCTACGGGTCTTAATGAAATGAAATGTGAGATTTCCTTCAAGTTTTCTCAAATGTTTGCACAGAAATGTATTAGAGGGTTCGATTGATCCCCGACTGCTCTTAATGAAATAGTGGTATGGAATGTCATAAATTTATATTTAAAAATTATTATATTATTTTGGACGCATGTATCCTACTGAGTTTAAATTACTCATTCATTCAAAGTTTAACATTTCAGGTTAGATCGGTCAACGTGGATAGAGGCTGAGTGGTGCACGAGTTGCCCAAGTAAAATTTAGGAAAACTTTCAACAATAAAATTTGTTATGATATTTTGTGTTTTTCTTTATTTTTGTTAAATGTTCTAAATTTCGAGACTCTGTGTTTATTTAATTCAATTTATGAAGGTTCAAATGAATTGAAGGTTTAAATTTTCAATTAATATTTCCACTTCAAGTATGATTATAAAATGATATCGTTAGCACCTCAAAATTTAAGTTAATAAAATTTGGGACGTTACAGATTGGGCCTTTGTAGTTGCATTATTTTAGGAAAAAGGGAAAATTCTTCATTAGGCAACGATTTAACCTCGATCTGTATCATGCCATATTATTATTTTTGAAGTTTGTTTTATGATGTTTAAATACGCTTTCGACTCCATATTTGTTGAAAATGTAAAGTTGAAGTGAGGACGATGACTCCAATGACTTAGCCCATGTTTCGGCTCCATTAAAAGTAAATTTTGAAGAAAATATATTTTGAGACAGTGATTTTTTGGGGAATGTATGATTAAAATATAAGAAAAAAATGATGGGTTTATGTGTAATATTATTTTATTTAAGAATATGTAGTTGAAAATGAGAAGAAAAAAATGCATTTTCCAAAAACACTGAAGCCCAAACAGGGTTAATGTGTTAATCTTACCGCTTATAAGAAGTCGAGGTGAGATTGTTATCCGAAAATTGGCTGTCCAACTTCATGTTCACCCAATAATTTTGAAATAACGAAGTTCGATCCAACTCACATTTAGAGAAAGTGAATAATGTAAAATTTAAATTTATCAATTATTATTAGAAATAAGTCACAAATAGTAATTAATCTAGATGAATTCACATACAAGTCTATCATATGTTAAATTGCCACAATTTATAGTTTGCATAAAGTAAATAGCACCAATAATTGATCACGGAGAAAAACCTTTCATAAAAAATAAAAAGACTCCGGGCAAACCCAAATCAGTAAAATCCATTATAGACAAATTGATTTACAATACGGTCTAAACTCGACTAACTTCTAGTACTATCTGACATACTTTATTTAATCACTAAGGCCCTTCTGAACTACGTGCTCCTACACCAACCAGAACTCCCCGTTCTTGTCCTATCTGAACTTTGGTTTCCGTCATCGATCTTCAGAACTCTAACAAATTATACAGAAGTGGGTGGTTTGATGTTTTGAGAATTTGAATTGATGTTTCTCAAAGTGTGGTTGATTGATCTTTATTTTAAGGAATTGATGTAGGATCTCTAAAATATGTTTTATAGGAAAAATATAATGATCAACCATTAGTATGGACAGAATATAACTTAAGAGCTTGTTTGTTTGGGATTCTCAAGTTCTACAGTAAATCAATTCTCATTTTCAACCACACACAATAAAATAATATTTTCCATCATATCAATAATTTTTTCTTCTTTCTCAACCACACATTTCCCATCATATCATTATTCAAATATCAATTCTTCCCCCAAAAATCCCAAACAAACACCCCCTAAGTATATATAGTAGAAGGTGTTTTGGGTTGTTAAGGACTCAAAAAGTTGTTTAAATCGCGAATAAATT